AACTTGACTTGTGACATTTCAGGCAGATATTACAATATGTTATCCAAGTAGCATATGATGTAGCCTGTAAGACTAGCCTGGGGCAGAGATGAGAAGCAGTGTACTGAGGTCTCATGACCTCACTCCCCCACCCCATTACAAAACCCCAACTGTCGCTGCCTTAGGTTACCTCAGTCTCAAAAGAGATCCTTCTGTAGCTGTAAAGGTCTTCTTTCATACATTTTCTTCACATCACCACTTGTTTTCCTAAGAGCTGTAAACATGCGTCAGAAGATTTTTACTTTGACACATCTATCTTACAAGAGAAAGTCTACTCTACCTTTAATATTCAAAGCCTTAAAGAAGATATCTTTAGAAACATGTTTCCACTTGTGAAACAGTTAAACCTCAGTCTAAGAGTCTGGTTGAAAGGCTGCACCACACTGGGACGCATGCTTGTTGGCACCGCTCAGAGGGAACAAGAACAGAAGCAAAGGCCTGAGCTGCACACAGGGGAGGAGGGGTGAGTGGCGGTGGTGGAGAGACATGAGGAAGTAATAATGATTGGCTTAAAAGAAACAGCCTCTGAGGTTACTCTCAGTCATGTCGAGATTGAGAGAGACCCCAGGGTGTGTAAGGTAGCAAGGGGCTGGCGGTGAGATAGGGTGAGGGGGAGGACCGACTTAGTCCAACCCCATCACTTTCTGCCAAACATTTTATTGCTCATATCAAAAGTGAGTAAGTGAGTAAGTGTAGATGAGAGGGGGGTAACTTCAGAACATCTAAAGCCCCAAAACAAAAACCTAGCCAAGGTGCTGCTCGTCAAAGTCCCTTCTTGACTCCCAGCAAGGAATTCACCTCACTGAATAAATCTCTGCTTTCCCACATGCACTCCCCTCCCCGCACACCCCTCAACCTCTCACCCACTTTCTCCCCCAGTACCCAATAGGAGAGGGGATACTGGTTGATACCACACACCCCTCCCCTCCTCTCTGACCATGAAGCTCCAACGCTGCCTCCCTTCCCTGTATGGGCAAAATGATGCCACACTCAGAATCCACTTCAAGCTTCAATTTATCTGAGTTTAAAATCTGACCCCTGCTGGAGAAAAAACTGCTGCTTATCCCATTGATTCCTTTAAGTCAGTAAAAGACAGAAAACAAAGGGCTTTTTGAAATGTGACACAATAAAAGAAAATGACAGCCGGCTGTAAGGAGAGCTTCCTGTAGCCCCTTTCTGTCTCTCCCCATCGTTCCCTCCTCTCTCTCTTTCCCATTCATCAGGCCTATTGTCAAGGCCCAGACAGGGACCATTGTGCTCCAAGCCTTTACTCCCTGGAAGACACCACACAAAAGAAATAGCAAACACATGAGAAAATAAACTGATATAAACCAAATGTACTTTCATAGCCTGCAAAGAGGAGAAAAAAAATGAATGAATGCCTTTTTACACTTCATTCATATTAAAAGACGGGTACACATGGAGGCACTACTTTAAGTGATATTTAACGTACAAAATGTACATTTTGGGGAAAAGGTTGTCTGATCCATCAAACTATATTTTGTAAAAATTGAAAATAAATTTACATTCAGCTGTTGTTAACAATAAATGCCATTAAAGAGCAGAACACAAGCTCACAGGAAGGCAGCAGCCCGAGGCCGTCTGCATGTCTGTGCACATTGACACACGCTGACAAGCAGAGGCAGAGCTGAGAGCACACAAGAGATTCACAGCTTCAGTAGGTAGACAAACAAGAGAGCAGCGAAGGATGTGGAACGTTCAAAAACAGAAACCAGAAACTGGTTTGGAGATCTGGCCTGGAATCAAATGTAAATGCGAGTTTCATGGTCAGGGTTTCAGGGGTTTTTCATGTCAAATGTTATATCAGAGGCCTTAATAAAACAAGCTTCACATTAAGTCAATTAAAAAAAAGAGTCGGATAAAGTCAGAGAAATAACCTAACAGGGTCAATAAATGCCAAAGGAAGCTTCACCAAACGTTTTGGTAGGATATTGGTAAAGAACGAAGAAGGTTTTTTTCTTTGTTATGATACAGCAGGTAAGTAAAATGTGTGTATCATATGATACAGCAGGTATTAAGGGGGATTTTGTCAATTTAAAGCATATCTGTTCCACAGTCACCCACATCATACATTTACAAACCAACAAAAGATGGAGTAACAAATCAGTACTCAACAGAGATGCATGATGCAGGACAGAAAGAACCTGTGAACAGGAAAGGACAAATAGAGTCAGAAATCAGAGAGAGAGAGAGAGAGAGTAGGGAATGACATACAGGAAAGAAGCCACAGGTCAGATTCGAACCCAGCCTGGGAGAACTACAGCCGCCGTACATGGTGTAGCCACTAGGCTACCTGGGCCCAACGAAAATAATTTCTTGACAATTATTTGATAGTTTAAGCCTTACAGAGTTAAAAAAAATATGGATGCAGATTGCAGAATTTATTTTCCTTTGTATTTCCACACAAACAAAAAGCCGCAGGTGTCCTTGCAGTTGGCACATCCACCCCATGTGCGGAGACATGGTCCTCTGGGTGTGTGGCCCAGGTTTGGGTCCGACCCTTTCAGCCCGATTTCTGATTCTGTCCACTGTCCTGTCTCTAAAATGTAGGCATTAACAGCCCAATCATATTAAGAATTAATAATAAATATCAAAAAATGTATATGGCCTTCTTGTAGAGCCAGACTTAAGTTCTTCCCCTTAAAATTCAATTTGCTCTCTGAATTGCAACACAGAGTGAGAGGCAGCTCTGTACAGTAGCCTGCAGAGCCTCTGTGGTGATGAGAGCGGAGCTGGGGAATGCTTCCCTCTGACCTAAAAAACTACAGGAGGTGACACAAGGAGGGGGGGAGGATTTTATGGGGAAGAGAGAGGGGACAGTGTTGTGTGGCCTGCCAACACCAACACCACCGGCACCAGCACCAGCATCAGCACAAGCAGGAATGAACTCGGAGCTCTTCCAATGTGCCCAGAGGAGTGAATGGTCCTGAGGGGAGATGAGGAGAGAGTTGCAGGGGGAGGGAGGAGCAGGGACACGTGAGGCTACCCGGGCATCAAGTGGAGGAAACGATGAATGAAGGAAACGCACAGGTTTTTTTTCTGGCTATGATTCCTAAATTAAGCCTGAAGAACTCACGCGCACGCACACACACACACACACACACACACGTTGGGTCACACTGACATTTTCCTGTTTTAGGGGAATAAGGGAAAACCTCACCAGACATCCATCCAAACAAACACCTTTCCTGTCAGGGGGAGGGGTCATTACTTTCACAGACAGTGTAGCATTTGTGCCTTTTCTCGCCAGCAACAGGTTCACACATCACCATGCGAGTAAGGTAGTGCACCACATTTAGCCTTTCTGTCAACACACCTCACAGGTCACCTCTGAATCAGTAAGTGGCAGATCTTGCAGCCCTGCTCGGCGGCCACACTACAGCCTACACTAGAGCTGTCAAATACTCAAAAAGAGGATGCCAGAGTGTTGGAACAAGGCCATATAGGGCAGCTTCAAACATGTAGCATGACCCAGAATATCAGAGCTGCAGGTAAAGAAACAAAAAAAAAAAAAAGCAGATACAGTATGAGAAATGCACTGACCGTGGTTGGAAGAAAGGAATGTCAGAAAAACTACAATTCTGGGCGGAAACACTAGCCAACTATAATTATTCCCAGGCTGGATCAGGAACAAAATACCACAGCTCAGTGCTAAGGTTGATAGATACACAGAAGTGCACCCTAGTGTCTTTAAAGAATTTGTAGGGACGCTTGCAAACATGTCTATTAAACCTTCAAGTCTCTGCTTTATCCTACATTAATTCTGCAAATGGTCTTTGAACGCAGCATCAAGAAACACACCGTTGTGAGGCGTGTATCATCTGTGAATGATTTTAAGCGGGATACAAACAATTATTTGAAATGCATACAAAAGTTTCAGAATGATTCAGCTGCAACAAAGTCTCAGCTCGGTGGCCGGGTGCAACTCAGCGGGCTGTAACTAAACTTGTATTTGTGCATCGTAATGTGAGCCTTCGAAGTGTTTGTTTGCCTACCGAGCAGAAATACGTGCAAAAATAAACCAACAACAACCAAAGAAATCAAACGAATAGCCTACCATACGAAACCTACCTTGTTAAACCGCAGGCCTCCAAAGTCTCCTCAGATTGTGCTACAAAACTTTCTAGTTCAGCCGCAAATCCATCCAAATCTGTCCCAGGGCAAGCGCGAGGCGTCGTGCTTTTGCTTCCGGTCATAACCTTTGAAGTAAAACGTCCGACGACAACACTGCTCGTGCAAACATCTGTGGTTTCTCAATGAAACATGAAAGTTGTCTTAACTGGCCATCTGCAGAGGAAGAATTTAACTTTTTTTTTTTTTTCACACATTGAGATGCAATTTTTTTTTTTTTTTTTTCAATGTTATCACAAAAATGTTCATTAAGAAGATGTGATTTTATGATAAATATCACGGTCACGTTGACAAAGAAAATGAGGCGTACAAACATAAACTACAAAAAAAAAAAAGGCAAGTTGTCTTGTTGTGTTTATGTTTATCTTTCGCATTTCCTCATTAACATTTTTTCATTTCTATTTAATTAGTTTTAGTTTATTTTACAAGACAAATATTTCCCCTGTGGTGAGGTACCCTTCTGTCAATACAGAACATGAACTTCAAGCATGCCTCCTCCCATGATTTCTAAGCTAATGTAACTGCTGGTATGTCAGCATATTGCCACTTTTCCCGATAACGAAACATCATTTTGACTAAACAGTAAGGCTACTTTATTTTGAAATTAGAAAACGCCATTTCCTGTATTTATCCCGCTGCTGTTCTGTGACTGACGCTTTCTCGATGACTCTGACGTCACTTTTAAATTACCGCTTATTGTTGCATTTTTAGTTTTTTGGGACATTAGATAATGACACAGTTGCACCAGAACAGTGGAACTCAAGGTGGTGAACCTGCAGATTAGAAATAAAACGGAAGAGGAGACAGTGTTTTGCAGTATGTTGGTTTACTGAGTTACATTCATCCATAGAGACATGAGTACAATGGTTTATAAAACTGTTACATCCAACAGCAGAGACAGCACTGACCTTTATAGTTTATAGATCTTTAGAGAGTCTACATCAGAATCAGTCTGATCTCAACAGAGCAGGCAGCAATGTGATTCCTTTATCAATCAATATCTGCAGTTTCTGATCTCATTAAAAAATAAAAAATACTCATATACAATTGATTCTTGATGGCAGCAAGACTGAGGGCAGTGATATTTTTAAAGGACAAAACCTTAAAGAAAAAGAGTTATCAGACAGATTTTTTTTCCAGTTCACAGCTATTACATCAGAAATCATCCCAGTTCACACACAGCTCTGACGAGCCCTTTGTATAATGACCATCTGTTTGGCTGTTCAAAGGATGCTTAACCTAAAAGACAGAAAACAGGGTAAAAAAATCTGCATGAAATGTAAAGTAGATCCTTTCATTGCAATAGCAGAAAAACTGATCATCACTTACTTTGGGAATTACTGGAGGGATTAATGTTTTTTTACAAAGTCCATCCCAGTTGAATCCATCAAACCATCTGAAAAATAATCAAAGCATCACAACCTGTAAAGCTTGTTTACAACAAGCACTGGCCATTTGTGAGTTTTTTCTCCGCTGCGATAAATCTGCCGCCTTACTTGTGCTTCTGAATGTCCTTGGCCCCGTTTCTCTGACTGCCCACTCTCTCCGAGGGATTGCTCCTTGGTGATGGAAAGCAAACAAGAACACACCAACAAACAAACTGAGTTAGTAATCAGATTCTGTCACTCAAGAGGTGGTGTTATAGAACATAACATGTCCAATACACCTGCAACACTAATATCCTTCTACCTGTTTGTGTGTTTTAATGTCTGTAAAAGCACTATTAAAAATAGAAAACGTTAGGACACACATTATAATTGTATGATATACAATTACATTACATTATATACAACACCTGCACAGCTTCTTTATTATACTGGAGGCGCTTTTGCTGATGGTTTTTGGAAAGTCAATGTGATCGATGCCCCGAATGGTTTCACTGAGAATCTTCATCATGTCAGGGTCACTGAACGGGAGCCTGCAGAGAAAAGCATGAACCTATCACCATCACTTCAATCCATAACTGAAGAAATAAGCTTAAAAAGGGTGGGCTGCACAAAACCATAAAACTTACCAACCACTCAGAAGTTCAAACACAAAAACTCCCAGTGACCAGAAGTCTGCAGATAAACTGTGGCCTTTGCTTAGGATGATTTCAGGAGCCATATATCCAGGGGTACCACAGAATGTCCAGGTTTTCTTACCCACCTCAATTCTCTTTAGGCATCTCGAGCCAATCTAGAAAAACATAAATCACAAAATTTGTTACCTTTGGTACAACTTTCAAGACTGATCAAAATGCAGACACAAGTTTGTAAGAGATTGTAGTACCAGTTTGGCATAACCATGGTGATCCAGAACAACATTTTCAGGCTTAACGTCTCTATAGACAACACCTCGACAGTGGAGAAAGGTCAACGCCTCAATTACACAAGCTGTGAAGAACCGGGCGCTGCATTCATCCAAATATCCTCTGAAAAAAGAATGTAGAAGACCTCTTTTAGCCATCCAGCACCCCCCCCCCACCACCACCACCCTAAGGAAAAAAATCAAATGTGGTGTAGACAGATGTATTCATTCCCATGTTGAGTCTTAATTGTATAAGCACCGCCTCTCATTTGTGCACTGCACTCCTGAAATTTCCAAAACGCAGCTCACAATGTGAACACGAGTTGATTTTTTCAAATATTATCCATTAACTTGAATAATGAGTAAAATGTGAGCGAGCCTCAGTGTGAACGCAGGAGGAAATAGTCGGGAAAAATTCAGTTCAAGCAGGAGGGGATGATGAGCAAGTATGCAGCCATATGTTCTTTTCCACTCATCCATTCATATTGTGAATATGTCCAATTACACGTAGCATTGGACATCTTTGGATATGTTACGTTATAGGATACATTACACAGTGACTTCTACAGCATCTGACAGGGAAGATCTCCTGTGAGGGGAATATGGAAAAGGAGTACTCTGGAATATATAAGGGGCAGACTGTCATGGCATTTTCTAGAAATTGTCAGGAGTGCGTGTGTGTCAAAGGGGCTTGTGACGAGAAGTGCCTTTCATCATAATTGTCTCTATCATACTTACCTATCTTTAAGGAGACTGCAGAGATCCCCACCAAGACAAGCTTCTGTCAAGATGTACAAGCATTCAGTGTCTCTAAAGGTCTTATGTAGCCTGTGGTCAGAAAGAAATGTAAAAACAAATTAAAAGGGAAGTTGTACTTTTGTCCCAACTTGGAGCCTAATTGTATGTTTAGGTATGTAAATTACAAGTAGGTTTAAATCCATGATCATTTCTTAGCTACAGACCACTACAGGTTCACACTATAGATCTGTTTCAATCATTACCATTCTAGGCAACCTTTTATAAACTTTAAATATGAAATAAATAAAATAAGTGAGATAAGTGTTGAAGAGCAGACACCTGACTATGAATTGACAACGAGCCTCCATCAGGATGCGTCCTTCTCTCAGAATGTGCTCTCGTTGGCTGTTGTTGAGGATCAGCGTCTTCTTGAGGACCCTCATGGCAAACACACACTGAATGTTGCTCCTTAGTTGCACCTGAGAGAGATTACATTATAGAAACATAGAATCTAGAAGAGGAGGCAGCATCACAGGAGATAGGAGTCATTGTGAGCGAGCGTCTGTAAGATTGAGCCTCACCAAGTCGACGTGACCAAACTCCCCAAAGGCCAGAGTGCAGATTATCTGGAAATCACTTAAAGTGGACGATGAGAGGAGGTCAGGGTCCTTATCTGGCATGCTCATAGAAAAAAACATGGGCGACGTTATGCCTTGTGCTTTCTAGACAGCATGCCCATAAAATTTGTAGAAATTGTGCTTTTTTTGCGGCTCACTGGATTTTAGATTCCTGGCTTTGCAGCTCATTACTGCAGTCAAATACCAACCCACCGATGATTTCTTTGAAGGTCCTGAAGCACAAAACATCTGATTCTTTTCCAAGTACCCACCATAATTACATTACAAAAAATCAAGCTGTAGCAACTGAATCAGATCGAAATGTATTTTCAATAAGATATATCTTCTTACTCTCTATCTATGACCAGGCACGTCACTTCACCAGAGGCGATCACATTAACAGTCCGAACATCCTCTCTAAACACAGAATGAAACATACACTTATTCATGCACAGCACACAATAATTAGAAATAATGTCATAGATGCCACAAATATCACTTTCAACCGTCATGCACTGCTTTCATTAAAATCTACTGTATCCTTTGCATAATTCCCTCTGCAATAACACTTTTTTCCCTCCTTACCCCCACAGAGCTTTTTCTCCAAACCACTGTCCGTCACAGAGCTGAGAAAGGACTAACTGCTCTTCATGGCCCGGCTTCGTTTCTGTCACTTTCGCCTGGCAGATCAAACAGTGAGGCAAAGAGAGAGGGAATGAAAAAGAGGTGATGTGGGAAAGCAATAGATGTAGAACTCAATTATGACCATCAGAGAGCTGTTTCTAAAGCTGTGCTGACATTTTGTCCTCCACAATCTATATCGTTTTCCTTTGAAAAGCCATGTTTCATCTGTGCTGCAGGCAGAGAGCACACAGCTTTACCTGGCCTTTGCTTATGATATAAAAGGTGTCTCCTGTGGCCCCTTGTCGAATGATATAGTCACCATCAGAATAGTGCGTCTGTGGAAATAAAAATTAAAGGTAGAAGAGAAAACATAGGAAATATAATTAGAAAAGAATGCGGGGAAAACAACAATGAAAAGACAGAAAATATAGGCTGGTAATAACAAAAGATTCAATCTGATTCCATCCAAGCAGGTACTAGTGAACTGATGCAAAACAAAGAAAGCTGAGGGGAACGCATGTAAACATGATTGTTTACACGCGCTCCATCTGTGTGCACACATAATCTTCCGGCTGTATTCTGTTTGAATAAATAGACGAATTGCTGGTTGCACAACACTGTGCTGCAGGTTTTAAGTATTTAATTTGTACCTGCTCCGTGAGGTCAGACAGTTTCATGATGACATCCTCTGGCAACGAGTGCAGGAACGGAACGCTGCAGACACAAATGAAGTGTGTTAACAAGTCAAGCCCAATGGCAGTTCTGAAAAGGGCCGTGTGTCATTTTCCTCAGTGCATTAGAATATTTAAAAACATACAGAAAGGATAGGGAGGTTTTGGACAGGGTGACAAAACCTAAATGCACCATTAAGATGTCTGAAAAAGAGCGTGACCCTTGGAAGATACTGTGTTAAAGATGCTAGATTGCATCGAGCGATCTGAGCCTGCTCTGTGTCAAATCAAGTGAATGGGCTGTGATGTTCACCTGCTAAGCAGCTCCATCGAATGAGAAAGGCTGTTGAGTCCACTCTGCATAAGGATGGTCTGGTAGCTCTTGCGGTCAATAACCCATAGCATGCTGTCGGTTTGTGCTGCAGGTTCAAAGACGGAGTGTAAGTGACACTGCAGCTGAAGTGGTAAAACAATTAGGATGCAAGAAGTGATGCAAGTAGATGTAAAAAGCAGCTACAGCTTTAAGAGACTATACTGAATGCTCCCCATGTGGAGTATAAAGAAATCAAAGTACTTTCTTTCTTACAGGGAATAGCTTTTAATTTAAATCTAATCTGACGTCCCAAAATATTATTACCCTCTCTCTGTGAAATGGAGTTTGAAAGAGGGTCTTGTAAATTAATAATGACCCGTATTGATTGGTTCACTGAAGCTTCCTGCAAACGGACGTAGATATCCACTAGACAGTCTAATTAGATCAACCATCTGATAACATGGTGCAGCCCTGATTTCTCAATTCCCCCATTCAGATTTGCATCATCAGTTTTTACTCTAGCACCTTGTGAAAAGGCAATGCATGGCTTTATTTTCATTGTAATGCTGTGTCCGCTGTTTCTCTTTTGAAATAAGTGAGACATTTACTGCTGTAAGTCCTCTGTCACACTGACCCCAAAGGTCTGACGATACAGCCGTGTTTTCAGCTGCAACCTTTATCACCCTCAATATGAAAAAGAACACAGCCTTATTGATGGTCTCAGGTGGCAATGATGAGGAAAAAAAAAAAGTAATTCCAGGTGAGGAGAGGGATAAATACGGTGTGTCCTGATCAGATCAAACAGAGGTGCCGACAGAAATGAAAAAGAAAAAAAAGACAACACGTCTCAGCATTGTTACCGAAGAGAAGATAGTAAAGAAAACAGCAAATTGGAGAGGCTGACTGGTCGTGAGATAGAGAAAACAGTTTAAAAACTGGAATGAGATGCTTTTGGACCAAACAAGGCAAATAAACAGATTTTTTTTCTTTTCAATTTAAACCTCTCTCTGCGATTTCCACAGCCAATTTATTTGTGAAAGCGGGTCAGATTCATGTGGCGATGGATAAGAACATTTTCCCAAAGGACTCTTGGATCAGCTGCTGGGAGGAAATGACAGCACACCTTCTATTCTGTAAGGAATAACACTCATTCTTTCACTAGAAATGTACGATAAGTTCTTATCAAACCACAAGAAGAGTGGAGAGAATATGAACTCATTCTGACAATGTTTGTAAAAAGCGGTTAATGCATGTTGGATTGTCGTTAGAAGAGGAGAAAGTGGGACAGGCGGGGTATATGCAGAAGAAGAACATGTTTGAAATTCCTCACATCTCTGAGAAAACTGTTTGAAGCTTGTGTGTTATCTCAGATCTTTGATTTTAAATTTCAACACATCTAGTGTCCACTAGCATCATAAATCTGCCTGTTTGGGATTTCTGTTCAAACAGGAATTATTTATATCACAAATAAATCCTCACTTTATCACACTCAAACTCAACTCAACAACACTGTTCGGATGTGACAAATCTCCAGTGATGTCTGATGTAAGACCAAGAATACAAAACAACGTTTTGATACCTGAGACAGAGAAGGTGTGGGTGCAGCTGTAGAGGAGAGCCAACTCTCCAAACATGTTTTCTGGCTCGACTGTGAGAAGCTTCAATCCATCTTTTGTCACATCCAGCCTCCCTTCTGTTAAAGAGAACACAGTCAGTGAAGATACAAAGTGAAGAACTGTTATGTGCATGCTTTTTGTGTCAGGAAACATGGAGACAGGGAAAATCTTTCCAGACTCTGAATCATACTGTACAACCAACAATCATCCCTGAGCCAAACCGTCCAACATCAGACAACGATAGAACAAGATACCCTCCTGCTGTCACATTATTAAAGCAGCCAAGATTCCTGAGGACAATCAAGCACCGATCAATGTGGGTCACTCTTTATTCCCCAAAGTGCCTCATCTTTTCTCGCTCAAAGATGCAATTTACACACGAATGTGTGGCACAACAGCATGAGATTAATATCTTGTCAAACTCTGAGCCACAAAAAATTAATTGATACACAAATATCACAAATATGGTGAAGCTTTTCATTATATGCATTGTGCTCAACACCTTGAACAAACGTAATACATAAGAAATGCAATGTTATGTTATGTAAAGAAATGTAATAAACATCCTAATCTTAGAAGTTGTAAAACGAAAATTATTTACCTTCTAAAACATAAGCCTGAGCCCCATTGGTCCCCTCCTGGATGACATAGCAGCCTTGATTGATGGTGCTGGGATGCATACAGGCTGTAATGGCTCTGATTTCCCCTTCATCAAGGTTCTTCATCAAGTCATTTTTCAAAAACGCTGCATGAATCAGTCTCTGGGACCTGAGGACATGAAGGAGGATACTGAAGTAACACTGAAGTTATTTAACACACTCAATGTGATACTGTGTCCACAGTTATTTAAAAAAAGATCAGACATATTTATTGATTCTGAGTCTTGCAGAAAGGCGCCACGTCTTGAACAATTTAGAGACAGATTTTAGACTTAAATTGTGCTCTTACTCCAGGCTTTTGTCACAGCTTCTGTGTGAAACCATGGCCAGAGTCACGGGGTCCAAAGTGAAGGGCTCAGATATGACGGTTTTCCCTTTGGCTTCTTGCTTGTGCTCCACTTTAGCTGAGCAAGCTACAGAAGACACAGACAGTAAGTCAGGATTAAGGCTACTGTTCAGCTACCTGTTGATGCTTTAACATAATACTAAAGTCTCATGTTGTGAACCTGCTCCAGCTTCAGAAGGTCCTGGAATGGTGACAGTGGCTCTGTAGCGATCCAGTTCTTCCTGAAGTCTCCGAATGAGCTCATCCTTTGTATCCAACTCAAGCTCCAACTCATCTATGAGCATGTCCCGCTGGCGGAGCTCCTCGATCTTAAGTTGCAGGGCAAACTGGAGGTCCCGAAGTGTACCCATTACCTGTAAACACCAGATGATAAAACACTGCAAAATACAACATGGCATACACGTATCTACGTAGAGATAGTGGATGACGATACACTGGATTTTTGTCTGACAATGAGTTGCATCAAGTCCCTTTTTGTCCCCACAATCTCAGTTAACTTATAGTTGGAGAGTCAACCTCTACTGTATCTGCCTCTCCCCAAACTACTTATATTAAAATGAATATAAATGGAGGAAACAATATATTTGCTTACTAGGCTTAGAACATTCAAATTATTACTTTATATAGAGAAAGAAAAACAAAGAGGCTCGTAAAAACTTAGATTGCTGGATGGGCAGATGTACAGAAGTAGCCAGCAATATGTAATGTGAGTAATGTCTGGGTATATGTTTTAACTGACTGAATAGGAAAACTGTCAGGTATAATCCAATGACACATTTTCCCATGCAATAAATAGAAGACCATACATATGCTCTGTTTGTTCAGTGCTGTTATACCTCTTGCAGCACTTGATTTGGTTATCAGGGGTAGCTTATGCCAAATTGCGATTATAAATTCAGTATGTTTATGTAATCACTGTATTAGTCTACTGTATTGAAATATAGAAATTCAAGGACACTTCACAAAGATACCAGAATTATACTAATAAAGACATCACAAGAGCAGTAAAATCAAAGATATTATGAAACGCCTCAGACAAGGTCATTGTAAAGACTATTTATTAAGTCACACACACTTTGCGTCCCTGCAGGAATATGATTAAGACTATAGATGTCTTCATTGTGGGTCGCATGTGCGCCTGGAGCAATGCGCACACATAAAAGCCTCTGTAACCAATGGATGAGTTGGTATAATCTGAGAACGGCGTTTTATGTGTCCAATAAATGTAGGCTATATAAACACAGCTGCATGCAATCTCCAGTTAAATATAACATAACCATAAAGTACATCACTCACCACATGCAGCCGGTCTGGCGTTGTGGAAGTCTCCTCACTGGTCCTCAACAGATTTGTCCCTGTTAGGCAGGAGACAGTCCACTCGACAGGTGCGCATCTCCTGTGTACACGCCCGAGTGAAACATGCTCCTCTGTTGCTCGGGGCTGGTCAGAGCTGGGCACTGACAGCAGGCAATCACATGACAAAGACAGAGGAGACCATCCGGGAGGTTCTAATGAGAAATGCATTGACTGGATGCCATTTGGGTCAGATGGTCCTTGGGGTATTTCCGAGCCCATGGGGATGAATGGATCTCAGGCAAACTAAGCGATGCGTATCAATCATAGAATTCCCCAGCTATCTGACACCTCGGAAAGAGACAAAAAGGTCGGCTGTGTGTACTGATAAAATGTTTTACTCTCCATGGTAACCTGATAACCTAAATTACAACGTTGTATTTGATTAAATAGCCTATAGATGATATATGTCGAAGAAAAACAATTCAAAGTTGAGTTTGTACCACAATAGTAGGCTACTGTTTTCTTTTAATTTAAAAAATATATATATTTTCATATTTATACCCACAAACAATATTGGTTTTAGTCCCAATAAGCAATTAAAGGCTAGTTTAATTTTTTTTTTTTTTTAAAGTCAACCCAAAAATAAATAATAAAAAAAAAAAAACATGCCTGAAGCTCAGTCCTCCGTGTAACAAAAATGGAGAGTAAACAATCATTTTTACGATGTAGGAACTGGGTGTGTGGATATATGTTTTTTATAATTTAGACTCTAATTATTCCAAAGCCCAGTCGGGGTCTGTTACCCTTCATCTTCCCTTCTATGGCTATTTATTTATGGTCTTTCCAAAAACAGAAGAGTTAAAATAAAGTGTTAATTTCCTTCTTTCTTGCCTCACTTACAGAAGTGTCTGGGTGAATGTCTTGCACTTGGGGCAGACAATACTCCTGCCAGCGGGCGGCAGCAGAGCGTCGATGTAACCTTAGCAACCCGCGACCGTCGAAGAACAGGAAGATGGGCTGTTGACAAGAGATGCCCTGTGGCTAAGTCGCGCTAGCAACGTAGCGTTATTCTGGGGTCGATTTTGTTGTTGCTTAACGTGTGAACCGATATTTTAGTGGTTGAGCTTTGTTCACAGCTAACATCGAAAATGATTCTTACCGTGAAACCCCTGCAAGGAAAAGAGTGTAGTGTTCAGGTAAGCCACGGACTGTATAGCAAGCTAGCTCCTCGCTAACTAGTAGCCCCGCTAGCCACATGACGAGCCTTTTAGATAGCGAGATAGCGACCATAGAAAGCGACAGGCCTTTCGCATGTTAAGCTGACTGCACGTAAGCAACAATATATGTAATGCTTGTGACTAAACTCGTGTACGATATTGTAGCGTCACATTTCGCTGTGTCGTGGATCAAGAGTTAGTTAGCTTCATCCTGGACACGGTGTCTGACTTTGTCCACACAGCCTGTCTTTAAGTTGTTTCCTGTAGGTCAGCCCTCACCCTTGTATGTGACATATGTTAAAATAGAGACTTTACTGTACAGAACAGAAGGAACATTGATGTTATTAGTTATTATTATAGTTAATTATTATTTATTAACCTAGCCTAAGTTATCAATGGCATGAAGTGATTCACTAAACTCTGCTCTTAACATAACTCTAACATGTTTAATATCTGTCATGTCTACAGTCGTAATGGGACAAATACCAGTGCTGTGGTCAAGGTCCAGTGGCTTATTAAGATTAAATTGCACATGCCCCCTGTGTGAATTATATCTAAGATTTAATGTAAAACTGATGCCGAAGAAGAACTGCACTAAACTTCACTTCCTATACTACTTGACTGTATATATAATATCATATTCCACTTGATATTTATTAACATATTGTTTATAATGTCCATACTGTAAATATTGTTCATACTGTAACTATCTTACATCCATCAATGCTGCTCTATAATATACCATAGTTATCCTCTACACCAGCTTACCGTATTACCTTACTACCATATTGCACTTTCTGCCTATTCATGTTTGTACTGCACCTTGTTGCTCTTTTGCACTTTTTTTTGGTTAGAACGCAAAAACATTTTGTTGTCTCTCTGCTTGTACTCTGCACAATGACAATGAAGTTGAATCTAATCTAATCTTTGATACTCTTCAGCTAAACAGGAAGGCAGAATGCTCGCCGAATGTCTTTGAAAACAAAATGTATGTATTGTTTTAATCAGTACAACTGCAACATCACTTTGATCATCTTTCAGGTGGCTGAAGACGAGAAAGTATCCAAAGTAAAGGAACTTGTGTCTGAACGTCTTAACATTCCAGCGAACCAGCAGCGGTTGCTCTATAAAGGGAAAGCACTTGCAGGTAGATTTTTTTCAACAGTCAGATGTTTCGCAACCTTTGTGCATAACTGTAATTGCTTTTTTTACACACATCTATTCAGTACATTGATTAAAAGTTTACATTTTTGATGATTGCATGCATACTCTATTTTCTTCCTCAGATGAACACAGTTTGAGTGATTATTCCATTGGGCCAGAGGCTAAATTGAATCTGGTAATCCGTCCTGTGGGAGAGAGGACTGGAGCGTCTGGGATGGCTGCCAGCAGCAGCAGTAGCTCACAGGGAAGAGTGTGGCAGACTGTGTCTACTATCCTTGCTAGACATTTTAGTCCAGCTGATGCAGCAAAAGTCCATGAACAGCTTATTAAGGTATTATTGATAATCCATTTTGACGTGGGTATTCATTCGTTTCTAATTGTCATTTAAAATGTTTTGTTGCTCGCACTTGAGGCTTAAGACTCAACAGAAGGGAAACATCAAATCCTTGTTTAAAGTCTTTTGACCCATGTATGTTTGTTGAATATACATCACATATATATGTCAGAAGTAGGGTTGTCACTATGCCAAAAATTCAAATTTGATACTATACTTGTAAAAAATCAGACAACATTGATGCTTTATTCAGTAGCACAGCACCTAAAACAAAAGTAATGGGTACCCTATATTGGGTAGTTTCCTGTTTTTAATCTTCAAAAATTGTAATCAAGCTTCTGCATATTGTCTAAATTTTACAAATACACTGACCACTTTCCAATACTTGTCAATACTCTTGATCATTAAATAATGGAGATTAAATTGTTCTAATACTCGTGGTATCAAAAAGTATCAATAATACAACCTTAGTCAGAAGTTAATAACATGATCATTTCTTGCACATGAATATTATTATAATCTAGCATCTGATCTTTAACTTTCTGTTAGTAACAATACTTAAGGTACTTAAATTCAGGGACCTATTTCTCCAACATTTATTGATATTAGCAGTTCAAGTGTCCTCCATATTCCCTTTTGTAATTGTAAAACTGCTGACACTAAATGTGTTATTTTTGTGTTTATCAGTGTTAAAAGCTCCTCATCACATTCTCGAGAATGATATATATTTTTTTTATCTTGCTCTGTCTCAGTATATATTTGTTTTTCTTCAAGGACTATGAACGTTCACTTCGACAACTTAGCCTTGATGACATTGAACGCCTGGCGGGAAGGTTGCTTCACCCTGACGGTGAAGGAATGGACACCTCCTACATGGACTAAGAATTATTTATTGTGATTGTGTTTTGAGGGTGCTCTGTGCTTGGAAGAGCATACAATGTTTAGAATGTGAGGCACAGAAAAAGTCACTGAGTTTTCTTGCAGAGGGCCCCAGCTATGTGCCTGATCAGCTGCTGAGTGAACACAGATAGCACTGACTGTTGATTATCTCAGTAATAGGGCTTTCTTATCCATGATCAATGTTTGTGGATAAGGAGATTTTGCCACTGGTGTAGGTCCCTGTCATTGGTGTAGCAGCCACTGACTCAAGACTCATCAACATAAGAGTCCATTTGTGCTGTTGGTTTTTGCAGGATCTCTGGCTGCTACAACCCCTCAGTTGACACTAACTTCTACTGAAAAGTATTTGTTAGCATGATGACTTGATGTTTTCTATTAATCATTTGTGAGAAGGTGATACATGTTTTATTCTTAAACTGATTTTCATTGTATGATTTGTAAATATCATGTTTATATATACAAACATTAAAACACAGTAAAAAAAAAAAGTCAGACAGTTGTTGATTTTTATTTTTGTGTGATGTGCTAATAAGATAAAATAAAATTCCTTTATCCCACAATGGGGAAATTTACAGTGTTACAGCAGCAAAGAGCAAAGATTGCAGACAAAAAGTGAACACAGTACAATTTAAATAAAAATAAAAATTAAGAATGTACAAAAAAAATAGATCAGCTATTTGACAAAAGTGTAGTCTGTAAATATTCGTGATATTAAAGTCTGTGATATTAAACTTACAAATTTGACTGTAAACGAAGATGTTATCAAGAATTTTCATGGAAAAAAAGTAGAAAGCGGTCAAATATGAAAGAAACAAGTTGGGTCCATAGACTGAATATTGGTTGGGTCTCCAGCATAGAGTGTAGGCGGGACCATGCGGTGAGTATTTTGCGTGCCGACCAATCAGATGTCGGCAACAGTCATGAGTCATCAGCTGGCCAATCAGATCATTGAAGACTCGTCACCGCTGCCTGTGTTGTGCACCGACGCTTATTTCCTCTCTGCCTATTTTGCACAACAAAAATGGAAAGATTTTAACTAACCCCTTTATTTTTTTTTTACAAAACTATGAAGTGCGGACACATTGGATAAGGAGAGGCATTATTTTATGAACGTAGGTAAGGAGATACGACATTTCTGCGTTAGCGTTAGCACGAGCTAGCACATCTCTTTCACTTCCTGTGTTTTAGCTTTAGCCAGCTCAGTTAGCTTCGGCCTGGGCTGCTTCATCATTTGTTGCCATGTAATGATAACGAGTAGTGATTGATGACTGTGAGCTAGATTAACATTTTAAATCCTGCTTCAGTGAATAATCTACAATAATACAATAATAATCTGGTGGTGGGATTAGGTACAGTGATGATCTAACATGGTGTTACACCCCTCTCATCAGGACCGCTCTCCTTGGCCCGACAGAAACAAACATTCAAGGGGATTCAGTGCATCTCGTGGTTTCTTCTTCACATGTTGCAATGAATCAGCCAAGTGTTCTGCTTAGTTTCCTCTGTTTAGAGATTAATGCATTACATTTCCGGGGGATTCATGTTAAGATCTTGCGTTTTCAGGAGTTAATCTATCTTCAGCAGTAGTTTAACCCATCTGTCACTTTGTCTGTCACTCAATGTTTTCTCCGTTTTAGTAAGTGTGACCAGTCCATTGGAAGAATGGAAACCCTCATTCCCACCATCAACAGGCTGCAGGAGGTCTTCCTCACAGTGGGTGCAGAGAGCATACAGCTGCCGCAGATAGTCGTGGTTGGATCCCAGGTCAGCCTGAATAATATATGACACAATTAGATAATTCATTATTAAGTAAACCTGTGCTTAATCTTCAGAGGTTCCATTTAAATTGTAAGAATCTTCAAGCTAAAGGTTTTTGATCACAAATTGAATATGTGTATTCTGCTCTGCACACTGGTGTAATGCTGGTTTAACAGCTGCTTTCATTATGTGCCATAACAGAGCAGTGGAAAGAGCTCCGTGTTGGAAAGTCTGGTTGGACGGGATTTTTTGCCTCGGGGATCAGGAATAGTCACAAGACGACCCCTCGTGTTGCAGCTCATTAATGTTTCCCCTCTGCAGGAGAGACTGAAGATTGAGAATGGTACTTTCACATTCACTCGTCTGCTTTTTTTTAATTATTGTAAACAAAGGAGGTATTGTTTAAATAAACTGCAGTTTAGAATAAGATGGATATCAGCATGTTAGAATAGGACAGCAGGTTTGTTGTCTTCTGTGTATTTTTGTGTGATTATCACACAATTTAAATTATTGTTTAAACTGCATTCCTTGAAGAAGCTCTTTTTGTGGTTGCTAACATTCAGTCTTTCTTCCTCTTCTTCTTCATCACTTTCTCAGGAAATGGGGTAAAACTAAATGTCCAAAACAGCTACCCAGGTCACTGTATTTTTGGTCTGCACGGACTAGTCTTTGTATAACCTTGTCACTTGTTTTGTGCCCCCCCCGAAACATTTTTGTTCGTTCTGATCATCTGTCAAGCATGATATGAATCCATTTGTAATCTTTCCAGTTTCCCTACTTCTCCCAAACAGTTTATTTCCCTGGAGATATAGTGTGAAACTACTTACACTCAGTCTTATTTGTTTGTTCAGGTGTCAAAGCTGAAGAATGGGGTACATTCCTGCACTGCAAGAACCAGGTACATTTATTCAAACAATTCAAATAATGTGAATGCTTTCTTTGTCCTCTATCATGTGCTGGTGTTTTTTAATGCATCGTTCTCTCATCTTTCTGACAGATCTTCTCAGATTTTCAGGAAATTCGTCGGGAAATCGAAGCAGAGACTGAGCGAAGTTCAGGCGACAACAAGGTGAAATAGAGTACTGATGTGAGCTCAATGACACCTTAAATGAAGCTTTTGAAACTGCATTCATGACTCTCCTACTTTTCTCTTACTCTTAAGGGAATCAGTCCCGAGCCAATCTATTTGAAGATATACTCCCCCAAAGTGATGAATCTCACCCTTGTGGATTTACCTGGAATTACTAAGGTAAAATCTGCCACTTGGTGAGGATGTTTATTTTGGTTGATTTTGTTTGTATGTACAAACATAGTTGCACTCGTTCATGATTAATGCTGATTGCATTTGACATGCATAATCATCACATGTTTAGTGCAGCACCCCATTTGTGTTAGGCTTAACATTGTTTTTACCTCAGGTTCCTGTCGGGGATCAGCCAGAAGACATTGAGAATCAAGTACAAGAGATGATCTTGTCCTTCATCTCAAATCCAAACTCACTCATACTTGCTGTCTCTCCTGCCAACTCTGACTTGGCTACCTCTGATGCCCTGAAGTTGGCTCGTGAGGTTGATACAGATGGTAGGACGCTATATTTATTTACAGACAACTTGTCTCCTTAGATTTCATTCCATTTTCTTTCCGCTTCATTATTGATTATTACATAACAAGCTTTAAGTAGAAATGCATTATGAATTATTAAATGTGCATAGAGACTGCATTGTGCTGAAGTCATTTCAGGCTGTTGAACCTGCCATGTCTTTATCGTGAACAGCATACTGTTAGTTAAGAGGTACTAGTATGTTTAGCTTTCATTATCACATTGAGAATCTGCCTGTAGAATGTGTCTAATTCTTTTACAATACGATGTTAAGATGCCACTTAGAGTGTGGGCAGGTTAAAACATCAGTTTCTTTGTCCAGATGTTCTCCTACTGGTCTAAATACTTTTACATCAGATATTTTTGGCCTTGCTGGTTTTACTGCACACTTTACTTCTGCCTTTCTCAAAAAAAACAAAAACAATTTAATTGGGATGACTGATAACTTTCTGTAAAATACGTGTAGTAAAGGTCTCTGTGTTGTTGTGTGTCTTAGGGCGCCGAACACTGCTGGTAGTCAGTAAGCTGGACCTGATGGATGCAGGGACAGATGCACTGGAAGTCCTTCTGGGTCGAGTCATTCCAGTCAGACTTGGGATCATTGGGGTAGTAAACAGGTTTGCTTCTAGTACTATTATTGATATATTCTTTATTTTTCAAATTATATATACTTTATTCATCAAAATGGAAATATTCACTCTGTTATCAAGAGACACTTAACATACCTGAAAGCTCAAACAGGACTTTGTCTGTAGTGAGGTTAATCTAAGAGTAAGAACAATAAAAGCAGTAACAACAAGAGAAGTGTCAAGCTTGCATCTTAGGGCCCTGTTGTTCGGGTAGGACCAGGCGCCTCTCATTGGCAGAGCACAGTGGGCGGGAGGGATTGTAGACCTGGATGAGGGAGTTCAGGTTAGGAGGAGCTGTTTTTGTTATTTTCTGGCAAGGGTTTTCAATTTGATGTGAGCAAGAACTGGGAGCCAGTGGAAGGATATGAACAGCGGAGTGATGTGCTCTTTTAGGTAGGTTGAAGACCTGTCATGCTGCTGCGTTCTGGGTCATCTGCCTTGAGCAGTTGCTGGTTCAGTGCCTTGCCAGTGCACTTTGGCAGTACTCAGAAGTATTCTGGCACTGATCCAGCAACCAGACTCAGGCAACCCTCCAGTTCCCAACCCATGTCCCTACAGCCTGAGCTCCTGCCACCCCCTTCAGATTTGACAGAACAGCGACGTGTCAAGTTGTTAGTTTGCTTATTACCCTGATTATCTGACTGCACTCCCTCTGTCCCTAATTGTTGTTCCTAAAGGAGCCAGCATGACATCAATACCCAGAAGAGCCTGGAGGACTCAATAAGGGATGAGCAGGCCTTCTTGCAGCGCCACTACCCCTCTCTTGCCTCCCGCGCTGGCTCCCGCTATCTGGCCAAAACTCTCAGCAGGCTTCTAATGCATCACATCCGGGACTGCCTGCCTGATCTCAAAACCAGAGTGACTGTGCTGAGCTCCCAGTACCAGGCAAGGCTCAACAGCTATGGCCAGCCAGTAGAAGACCACAGCGCCACACTGCTGCAGATTGTCACAAAGTTCGCCAGCGATTACTGCAACACCATCGAGGGAACAGCCAGATACATTCAGACCACAGAGCTGTGAGTGTGTCCTCTCTACAGTTACTGTATCTCTGTTGAATACTAAAAAACATCCATGATGAGAGCAGCCTTTGCTCATGTTTTAGTGAATGGTTTGTAATGATTGGGTTATCGTCTAATTTAGCACCATTGTTACAAAAGTTAGCATTATCTGACAATAGTTTTATGATGTACGCCCCTAGGGAAATGTGTTTGTAAATTTGAGTTGTATCAGCATCTCTGCAGCTCTCTTACCACACGGTGATTGATGTATTTAAATATGTAGGAAGCAAATATTGACCATTTTTGGTTTTACCGCGTTTAATTTTCTCGTATGTAACACTGCTGACACTCAGCATTGAGATTCTGCATTGGTGTCACAGCTGAACCCATCTTTTTTACAGCTGCGGCGGTGCTCGGATGTGTTACATATTCCATGAGACCTTTGGTCGCACTCTGCAGTCCATCGATCCCCTGGGAGGGCTGACTGAGCTTGACATCCTCACTGCCATCCGCAATGCTACGGTGAGCTTCTCCTAATCTCTATTCTGGCACTTTGTTTAATCCAAATTCGAGTGACGTTTTTTTATTCGGAGGAAAAATGAGTTGTTGTGCGAGCGAGTTGGTGCATGGCTGTGTTTGTGTGTTGCCTTGCAGGGTCCGCGGCCAGCACTTTTCGTGCCTGAGGTGTCCTTTGAGTTGCTGGTGAAGCGGCAAATTAAGCGACTGGAGGAGCCCAGTCTACGCTGTGTAGAGCTTGTTCATGAAGAGCTGCAGAGGATCATCCAGCACTGCTCCTCCTATAGCACACAGGTTTGACAAAAGATGTTTGATTGAGTTTTTAAAAAAACAAGATCAGCACTGAATTAATGCTGGCACTATATTTAGAAAATGTGTGTCTTTGTCTGCTAGGAGCTCCTACGTTTCCCCAAACTGCATGATTCCATTGTGGAAGTGGTGACCGGATTACTGAGAAAGCGCCTGCCGATAACTAATGATATGGTAATCCACAGATAAACTGATTCTCTATACTAATTAAAGTAGCTATCAACTGAGTTTCTTTTAACTGATTGAGGTGGTTTTTTTCCCTGCTTTTTCTCCTTAGGTTCATAATTTAGTAGCAATAGAGCTGGCCTACATCAACACCAAACATCCAGACTTTACGGATGCAGCACAGGTCTCAGCCACTGTCAACAGTCAGCAGGTAGTTATTTGTCCTTTACAGCAGGTACTTCACATCTATCATTTATTCCACCAGGATAATCAGATGAAGTTGTTTTCTTTGTTTCACATCCAATCAGTACACTGCTTTTAAAGCTGATAGTAGAATTCCAAGCTCAGCCCAAATTGCTTTGACCCTCTGACTCTTGATTTCTTGCTGGTAGGCAGAGGGCCTCGATGGAGGGAAGCGCTGGAAGAATGAGAAGGTAGCAGAAGAGAAAGCCCCTGCTGCAGCTTTTGGCAGTCCCAGCAAAGGCCAGGCCATTAACCTCCTTGACACAGTGAGTTGTGGGATTAGCAGCAGGACCAAACACTTAGTAGTGAATACATTGCAGACTGTCAGCATTTTACCTTACCTCTCTCTGCCAGGCAGTGCCTGTGGCCCGCAAGCTGAGTTCTAGGGAGCAGAGGGACTGTGAGGTCATCCAACGCCTCATCAAGTGCTACTTCCTCATTGTCCGCAAAAGCATCCAAGACAGGTTTGTCTGGGAGAAGTCCAGGATTCCTGGGGGGGGGGGGCTTATCTCCCCTTTTCCATCTCTTCCTCTTTGTCTATTGTAGACTCCATTAGTTGTTATTGATGCTGATTTTCTGACTTTGTCTCGGGGCTCTGTGTGTGTCTGCAGTGTGCCCAAGACTGTGATGCACTTCCTGGTCAACTTTGTGAAAGAGCATCTGCAGAGTGAGCTGGTGGGTCAGCTTTACAAACAGCAACTGCTGCAGGAGCTGCTCATTGAGTCACAGGACACGGCACAGCAGCGTACAGAGGTTGCGCAAATGCTGGAGGTAAAACTGGCTGATGCTTTTGTTCTCTGAATAGTTTCTGTGAATATCAAGGAAAAGCAAGTCCTTTCACTTCTTCTTTCATCTACTTCAAGGCCAGTAAATTAACTACCCTCTTTCCCCCCCCCCGTTACAGGCGCTCAAAAAGGCCAATAACATCATCTCAGAGATCCGGGAGACCCATCTGTGGTAGCCGGAGCATACCAACAAATCCCCAGTCATAGGACAGCTTTGAGAGTATGAGAGTGTATGTGAGTTTACAGCACTGAAGGCAAATGTCCGTGTGTGTGTGTGTGTGTGTGTGTGTGTGTGTGTGTGTGTGTGTGTGTGTGTGTGTGTGTGTGTGTGTGTTGTGCTTGCCATGTGTAGCAGTACCACTGTGCTCTCATGGACCAATGACCATAGAACATTAAGATGTCTTTTATTCCTGTCAGCTGTCGCCTGACTGATAAACTGGGGCTGTCGATTTTCACTGTAAACGTGTTCGTTGTGACAGAAATTAATTACAAACTCAGGCGGAATGTGTCATTTGTATAGTTGAAATAAGAACAACACAGCCGAGAACAAAATCATTCTTGAAACAAAATGTTTGTAGGGTATAAGGTTGCTGCTGTAATTGTAAAATATAGATGTTATGTTGAGTATTTGTGTTGATCTCAAGGCTGCTCTCTCTCTCTCTTTTTTTTTTGTGATCAAAATGTGTTCCATTCCACTCTCTCCTTTAAAAAAAAAAAAAAAAGAAAACCTGGCTTCTCTGAGCCACTACAGCAGGTGCTAAAATGATGTTAGATTAGATGTGTTCCAACTTAAATCCCCCAGCTTCAGATAATTCACCAGATTTAGAAATGAAATTCATACTCAATCGATGCAGACTGCAATGCAACACTGTAGACAGTGCACAGTCATTTACAGAACTCCGAGGATGGTGAATGCAGATTGTCTTTTTTTTTTTTTTTTTCCTGCTTATCAAAAATATTTATTTCTCAAAGACACATTTACATATCGACTCATTAGACTGTTGCACTGACCTTTTAGTGTGATGTGTACTGATGAACAAAGAGACCAAACATTCCCTGCATACATTTTCCTCCTTAGTTTATATAAAGTTTAAAAAGAATTCCCACGTAGATTTGAAAACCTTTCCTGTGAATTGTATATATAAGCTTAAGTACTTAGAGAACAGAAATTAATTCTATGATTATAAAAGGTGTATAAATAGTTGAGATTATGCTAGGGGATTAGGCACTGCAACATTTGATCGATTTAAAATCACGATAGTAGAAATGCAATTTTCTGTAGCTTCATTTCCTTTCTTTGAACCATTTCTTCACTAGTTTCCTGTTAGGATCAAATTCTCAATCACTCATCCCTGTCCAGTAGTCAGGACACTTCTGGAGTATAAGAGAGTCGTTATGCAGATATCAACCTGCATGCAATTTCCCCCCCAACTTTAGCTTACATCTAAAGTTAGCCAGATTTCATTTCTTCTGTGCCATCAGTCATTTTAATGTGTAATGTTGCTTGACGTGAGCTAATTGTTCATCTTTTTCCATCTGTTCCCAACTGAAACTGTTGTTACGCCAAATTCCTCCCTGCAGCGCTGTCGTGTTTAATGTGAATCTCTTATCATAACCAAAACAAATCACAGTCCTCAAACATAGGCTTTGACAGAAGACCTGCCTTAACTGGACCATCAAAAAGTTGCTTCTCTGTGTGATCATGGAGCGAACACAACATTTTGTCAGTCAGTCTCTCTGAAAGCCTCGGTGTACGTTAGCATGTGTGTGATCATTGTGCATGTGTGGCCGTATGAATGACTCCATTGTGTATATTTTGTATTATTTAAGTATATATTATTATCAATGTGTACTGTCTACTGCCTCTGAGTTCTTGCCTGCCAATGTTTGATACATGTTTACTGATTGAAGTCTGCTGAGATTAGGGCAACTCATTAAACCCTAACAAAGGACACTGTACTGAGTCTGGCTGTTATTGATGGCATGCACTTAAAACAATTGATCAGTTTTTATGAGGTCTGTTTGTTTGTCTCCCACAGTGCTGCAGCAATAGATATGATTTTGCTCATCCTTCTTCCCTTCATTGATCTGAAGCGGTTGAAATAAAGTCTGTTAGGGACTGTGGTTGCTGCTTTATCAGGTGAAGATGTCCTGGAGGGAGCAAACACACCCGTGTACTAATATCAACGTAACTCCAAGCCTTCACACTGAACCCGCTTTTATAGAAAGAGCTACATAGAGTGAGCCATCTCCCCTTGCATCAAGATGATAGATAATTAAAGTCAACACAATCTGAGTTCAACCTGAGCAGAGGTGGAGAAGTGAGCTGATGGATGACTCGAACGGATGGATGACTTTCAGCGAGAGAGGCAGGAGCTCGTCATTAATGTTAGATGAGAGTGAGCGAGGGCACTACAAGCCAAGCAGTTTTGCGCAACAAGAAATAACAACATGACAAGTCATATCAGTGAACTCCGAAACCCTGTAAGTGTTATTATTTATCACGGCAGTCAGATTGCATCAATAACTGATTCATATTAAACTGCTTTCTTGTGTCTGCTGTGAGAGACCCGAGTTTGCTGAGAGATTAACCACAAGCGAATGAGCTTTAACTCCAGGTGATTGTTTCTTATTGCACTTTGTTCCCCCACTGTAGCCAGTTATTCTGATCACCCTCTTCTAACACACCCCATCTCCCCACCAACTGAGGCTAGACTCGACCATACCAACTCTGACAGCGATGGAGGGGACTCGGCTGCAGCATTATGACAGCTCTACCCCTTAAGTCTCATAAAACCAGCTGCATGTTCGTGGAATCAAACTAAATACACATTTGAATTTGTGGATTTAGCCCTGCAGGCTCTTTTGTCTTCCAGCAGATATGTAGAGAGGATTTCAAGCTGCGTCCCCCCCCGCCCCCCCCCCCCCTCGCCTCTCCTCTCCTCTGCTGGTGAGCCAGTCAGCAGAGAAGGCTGAACAAAGCCATGGGAGAGAGAGGAGCTTCTGGGAAGAAATGTCTCACTGACTCTGTCGCCTGGACAACCGGGTAAGAGAGGAGGGGAGGGTGCACGATAAAGATAAAGGACCGGGGAGCAGAAAAGGAGCAGAAAACAACACATTATTAACTGCTTAGATTGCAGGTTTCCTTTAGAATATTTGTGTGTTTCGGGGAGTGAATGGACATTTGTGTGTTTTTCTCTTGTGAGGATTCCCCTGATGTTTCTTGTTATTGATGAGTTATTAACTATGACAATAAAACAGTAAATGTTTTTTTTCCAGCCACAATAGAACATGGACAATATGAAATTAAAGAGCACAAGTTTAGCACATTACAAGTGGACCCAGGAGGCCTGAACGCTCCACCTGTATTTCTCGTCTCATCAGCCTCAGGTAAGAGTCTCCTCAGTGTTACAGATGTTTTCTCTGATAGAAGCGCTTTTGTTCTTGTCTGATTTAATGATAAAAAAAAAGATGAATTACTGACACCAGTTAGCCATGCAACTATCCGTAAAAAGTAAGAAGATTGTTTTCAAGACAAACGAACAATAACAGCTCATCCTATCAGCTTGGATAACAAGTATGGTTCATGAGAATAACTCTGAAGCAGATCAGCTCTGGGAGATAGGCTTCATTATGTCTTTGAATGTGTTGTTTTTTACGCTGCCAGAAAAAATGAAAGTACCATTGCTGTTATATGGAGCTTATTTAATCAGTTTTATTCAGCAGAGTGAGAGAAATTGCCTGGTTAAGCCCCAGAAGGCTTCACACACCGGGCACAGAGCGAGCATAAATTCGTCGACAATAAGAAAATGAACACCGTTGTTAGGTGCAAATGGATCTCAAGAGTTGGACTTGACTCCGTATTCACAACGCGTGAAGAAAAGGAAGCACGTCCTCTATAAACACACTGCTGAGCGCTCATGCATAAGGAGTATATTCATAGGGCACTGGTGCTGAAATCAATGCCCCTTTAAATGAGGTGGTATGCTGGCTGACCTTACACCAGGCTGTGTGTGTGTGTGCGCGTGTGTGTGTGTGTGTGTGTGTGTGTGTGTGTGTGCGCGTGTGTGTGCGTGAGTGTGTGTGGGGCAGGAGGCAGCATGTGATATCCATATTGGATGAGATGGAGAGGAGATAAACTGAAGAGGATGGGGGTTATTTTTAGCTGCTGTCAGCAAAGAAGGTTACAAATCCCTCACCTTGGTCGACAGGGTAGAGGTGTGGAGAGAAAAAAAAAGGGGGGAACGATTGAAGGGAAGAAAAGGGGCGAGAGAGTGAGGCATGGTGAGCTGAAGGAGGAATGATGGAGATGTTAGAGGTGATGAGTTCAGGCTCACAGCAGGCTGGGATTGCTCAGAGCTCATACCTTACCAACCTCAAACATTCAAAGAGACAGAGTGGAGGGAAAGAAAATTGCTGACACTCCGCTTATCCACCTTTTTGTTGGAGAAAAAAAAAAAACATGAGAAAAATTCAGGTCCAGAGGAGCTTACAGTTCAGCCCCATTTTTGCTTACAACTGACTGAACACTACACAAGCAGCATGAAAACAGCTGAGTGCTGCGAAACACAGTCGATCAAATACAGCTGCTGTACTTCCACCTGGTTTAAAGGGATTAAATGATATCAGAAAGATATAAAGAAAGTTAAAAACTGAGTTTTTTCATGTGAGATAAGCCAGAGGTATTTAATACAGAATCAAACAGCATACATAATACATCAGCAGCTTCTTTTATAAAATGATGGGAGGATTTCAAATCTAAAATGTGCAAACAGTTGTTAATTTTAGGCTTCAGTGCATTTATATGTCTCTAGTTGCAAACTAGAACAACATCGAAGACAAGGAAACAGCCTCAATATTAAGAGCAGCATAGCTTTAATATGAGCTGTGTCATGTCAGCAACATATTTTGAATAAAGACAGAAAGCTGGGGCCAAATTACCCTCCATTTCCACTCCTGCAGAGTGCTTAAATAGTTTGCGTACTGCTAATCCGGAATGAGCGATTGTGGGAGCCTGTAAACATATTAGTTAGACTGGGCTCTGCAGTGCTATGCAGCTTTACACTGCTCATGATTATTGTATGTAAGCTGCAATGTTTTAGACTGCGAAGACACGTCAGTCTCGTCAAGCGGAGAGAAAAGGATGTTTCCCAGAGGCCGTGCGTCACTGTAGATTTCTCTCCTCCACTGTACTTGCATGCTGTCTGTTGCAAGGTGCACACAAGGTGATAGAGGGTTGGAGCGCTCTGCAGGCACTGCATACCGGTCTTCAATTAGTTCTTCAGATTGTCAGACTTTGACATCTAGGGACTGATCAGTCTGGTTTGGTTTAAAAACAGACAGAGAAATGAAGATATGCTGAAAGTCTCATTTAGATTTTCCATGAATAATAAACAGCAGGCAAGATCTTTTAGGTGCTGGTCGTTTGTTTGAAGAGTGACGGCTGTGTTGTTAGTGTGTGTGTGTCTGTGTCTCTGTGTGACTACAGTCATTCCCCAGGCTTATTCTCTCCCGTTTCCTCCACCCCACCTCTCCCTCATCATGTTTCTGTGCTTGCCTGCATGCCTCCTCTCATCTCCTGATGATGAGAGCAGCAGCATCAAAACAAGCTGTTGAGGCAGAGACGAAACGTAACAGGATTAAAATAATCTAATTACCAAAATTAGCAGCCGTAGTTCGTTTAATTTTCTGTAATTGCACAATTATATCTCACCTACGTCTGGAAGATTGGTCACATAATTAGCCATATTACTTTGACATATGAAACGTTATTAGAAATGTTTGAAGAGGAAAAATATTTTTGCTTTCGGCATTGTGGAAAACAACGTGTGTTCATTTTGAAACAGCAGCAATTGATGGGTGCAGATAACAAGTACAGACACAAATCACGGCCTGTAAGCTGAAACAAGTTACTGTCTTGTTATTTTTGAAACATAAAGCAATAGTATTGAAAAATAACTGCAAATTACTAAACATTTTTGTTAGACCAGAATGTTTGATTCCATTTTTTTTTATACCTAAAACCAGACTTCCCCGACTCCATCTATGTTTGCGCGCAGTATAGGCAGATGCTGATCTGCTGCTCTCCTGTTAAAAGGTGAACCAGAGTCCTTGTCTGTGCAGAGCGATGACATAGTTATTAATAAAAGGAAGTGTTGCACCGATAAAAAAAATGGCCCAAAATAGGTCCTTCTTTCAAAGCGTATTAGACACAGCGGAGCGCTTAGTTTTCAACTCAACAGGCTCTTTTAATCTCTTCCATAAAAGGGGAATCCAGCAAAGAAACACATTAACAAAATGCTTATCCTGTGGATATTTAAGAACATTAAAACTGCTCCTCTTAGAAAGTGGGAAAGTGTTGAGCTCAGGCTATAAAATATGGGAACATCCATGAGCTTAATGATCATCGAACTGGAGACTGACATTGTTGACATGGTGACCGCACATGAGCTGTGAACTTTCTTCAGCGGACATGAGCATTTGTTCTTCTTTAGCAGAACCATGAAATAAAGTTCAATCATGTGTAAGAGCACAAAACAAAAAATCCAATTAAACAACAAGCTACCAGTTCATTTTTACCTCCAAGGTTAGCCTCTCAACACTCTTTCTTCTCTGCTTTCCAACCGTAAAAGTAATCTTTAAAAAATATTTATTTAATGGAACCATTTTGAAATTCTTCTGTTTCATGATTGGGTTTTCTCCTAAACTTCAGAGCTGAGCAATTCAATTCAATTCAATTTCAATTCAATTTATTTGTATAGCGTCAACTCATAAGTGTTATCTCAAGACACTTTACAAAAAGCAGGTAAAATACCTTACTCTTTGTCTGTTAACATTACTAAAGAGCAGGTAAAAAGACCTTACTCATTGTTATGTTACAAAAAGCAGGTAAAAGACCTTACTTGTTCTGGCAGGCCGTCAACCAACGATCTTGAGGGGCCTAAGAGAGCTCAA